ATGGAGAAGATGGATTGTTTATATTCAAAAGAAGCATAGAGTGGTAGAATATAATTTAGGTTTTTAGATTTTCTAAGTTTGTTTACTCTTTCTATCTTTTCATGTAGATTAAGATATTTTGTGGAGTTAGAGATATTAGTATTTGTTTACTTTTATATGAATATTATCCTGGGATTAGGTTTGGGAAGTCCGGGGGGGGTGGGTGGGGGTTTTTTGTTATTGTGTTTACGTATATTATGATTGTTTTTTATGATGGAAAAAAAAAAATTCTTTGGGAAAAAAAAAAAATTTGTTACTAGGAGCTTAGTTTGTTTTTTAGGGAGGGGGAGGAGATTTAATTTGGATTATGAAGTACCTTCTCTTCCTTCAAGCGACCTGTAGAAAATGTGCTTTTTACCTATCGGCATCAATAATTATAAAATTATGGTTCTTTTTCACCCAAATTGCAGAGAAGCAAATATTTTGTCTGTTTGTTTAAATAGAGTTGAAGGCACTTTCAGAAGGAAATTGCTGTATCCATCATTATATGTCAATTCTGGTTTCAACTGTTAAAATTACATTAAGGTTGTTTGTTTGTTTTTAAATTGGGAAAATTTCTTTAACAGATGGTTTCAAAGTTATCTATATAACATGGGGGGGGCAGCTCATTTGAGACACTTGTTTCTTTTGAACATTATTTGACAATTGATAGGATATGTCAAACTTTTAGATACATCACACTTTCTTTTTTCCTTGCATTTTTCTCTTGAAGGAAGAATTCCATGGAATGCAAAAACCAGCCAGTGCTTTCATCTGGTCTAATAAAAATCCATCCTTTGAATCATTTAATCATAATCTACTGTTAGGCCAATTTGATAGTTTTGTAGTAGTTCTTTCAAACTGGAAGAAAATATTTAGAGAAGTATTATTATCTTCACAAAGCACATTTGTTGGAGGTATACGATCCTCAGTGATACCTTTAGTTAAAAGACCTGAGGAAACAGGAACAGAAAAGAAGCTCAAAAGAGAAGTATCTATTCTAGAGTGCTAAGAATGACGCTGAGCTTTGTTTAAGGCAAAATGGGGAAAGCCATCTGTAGCGTTTTCTGTGCATTTGATTCTAGGAACAAATCCTGTTACCTCCACCTAAAGCTATTCCCCCAGTCTGGAGCCCTTCAGATGTGTTGAATTACAACTTTTACCATCATCTGCCAAATTACTCATACCATAGCTGTTGCAAATGGCAATCACATGCAAGATAGCCCCAATATATTTGCAACAATCAGGTTGGGAAAAAGTGGCATAAAGGAATCTCATGTTGCAGAGCTGGAAAACTCTGAAAACCTGGTAGATAGTTCTTGGTAAAATAGGTTACTATTATGACTTAGTCGGAAACAGATCTATATATCTTCTAAACCAACAGTCCCCAACCTTTGCAGCTTGATGACGCAGTGGGAGGGGAGAGGGGAACTGGACCATGCAAGCAGCAGGCCAGCGTGCGCACGTGCACACAGCTCAACTTGCTGAGCTGCATGTGTGAGTCGAGCTGCGTGCACATGCACACCAGCCCACTGCTCACACAGCCCTGTTGTGAAAAGACCATGGCCTAGTAATGGGCCGTGTCCCAGGGGTTAGGGATCCCTGCACTGAACCATTTTGAAGCATCCTATGGATTCTGGCCAATGTAGTAAGAGACTAAAACTTTGGCAATCCTACTAATTAGAGGAGTTCTTACATCAATCAGTGGAGTGAAAATTAATTAAGTAAATAAGGAACAAATGTGAAGCACTGGGGTCTGTATGTATGACATTTGATTCTGCAAATAGAAAGAGAGATCATCTAGATCAGAAGTTTCTCCTATTATATCGTCCACCTCCATTTTCAGCTCTTATCTTTCTTTGTCTATCAAGTTTATGTCCCCCCTTGCCAATTATTTCTACTCCCAGAATCTGTCCAGGGTTTTCATCAATAAATCAGCTCCCTTCTCCACTTGTCTGAGCATATTATGTCTAATATTTAGAGACAGCAAAGACACAATTGCTAACAAATCTACCTAGAACCATCCTACCTGCCTAGATACTATATCAACATGATGTCAATGTTTGCCAAGGGATATCAGTCTCATTCAGTAAAATAATTGGGCTGGTTTATAGTCATATGTCTTCAGCTTCCACACATCTCCAAAAGCAGCATCTTGATAAAAATGCAACTTATATCCAAAATTAGCACACAGGGTCAATTTAATCAACAGTAATCCAACTCCAATTACTTTTTGAGACATACACAGCAATCATGCACAGATGTAAAACCCATAGCTATTTAAAAAATCAGATTCCTGCTATAAATGATCTTGGTTCAGGGGAAGAATACATTCTAATTTCTTTTTTCTTTTTTTTTCTTTTTTGCAGTTCATCTTTTTCCCTCAAAATGGGAGAGCCAGAGACCCTTCCCCCTTTCAATGAAGCATACCACAACTTGACAGAACTCTTCCAAGCATTCAACCACACATTCAGCTCTTGTGATTTGAGACTAGATGATAACATCAAACGGGTATGTCTCTTTGTTCTCTATCTCATCATCTTTGTGGTGGGATTGGTGGAGAACCTCTTAGTCATATGGGTCAACTGGCAGATCCGAAACCACCGGAACTTGGTCAATCTATACATTTTCAACATGGCCATTGCAGACTTGGGGGTGATCCTCTCCTTACCAGTCTGGATGTTGGAAGCCATGCTTGATTACACTTGGCTTTGGGGAGATTTCCTCTGTCGCTTCACCCACTATTTTTACTTTGCCAACATGTACAGCAGTATTTTCTTTCTCACCTGCCTCAGCATTGATCGGTATGTCTCCCTGACAACTTCCTCCCACTTCTGGCAACAACGCCAACATCTTGTGCGACGGATCGCCTGCTGCTGCATCTGGGCCTTTGCCGCCATCCTCCCTTTGCCAGAGGTGGTACACATGGAGTTAACTGATTCCATTGATCCAATGTGTTTCTTTATGGCCCCACTGGAGACCTACAGTGAGTGGACCATCGGTCTCAACCTCCTTCTTGCCTTAATTGGGTTCCTTATCCCATTCTCCATCATGGCAGTCTTCAATATACTGACCGCCAGACACATCAAGCGTTGTGACAAGCCAGAGAGCAGAAAAAACTGCCGCCTCATCTATGCTTACATAATTGTCTTCTTGATCAGTTGGCTGCCATTCCACCTAATGTTGCTGCTCCTCACCCTTGAAGGATCACATATCTTCCTCCACTGCTACATGCTTGAGTTCCTGTATTTCTTCTACGATATCATAGACTGTTTCAGCCTTGCCCATTGTGTGGTCAATCCCATTCTGTACAACTTCCTGAGCAAGAACTTCCAAGGAAAGCTTATTTCTGCTGTAGTTAGATACATTCCCAAAGACCAGATGGATCAGAAGAACAGAGATGGCTCTTCCTCCAATACCCAACATTCTATAGTTATCACACAAGACAAGATTTAAACCAATTTAAACAGCTTTTCTGATTTTGGGTTCATTGCCATAAGAATGTATTTGCATTTTTCTCTCTTATCAGCAAAGGATAGGCTTAATTAGGATACCTGTTGTTATTGTTGCCAATGCCAATTTGAAAAGAAGGTCAATATAGGTAAAAATGAGGTGGAGAGGAGGATTACGGTATATGCTGCTGTGTCAAACTGACTGACCTTAATCAATCGAAATCTAACATTGTTATTAGTCCTCATCTATTTCCTTCATCTTGAAACTTGCAATGCCGCTTTAACATTTTACTATGGAAAAGAGATGTATTTCTCTTAATTTCTTCACTTTTTGCATGAAAATAACATTCTGAAAACTCAATGCTGGTCTGCTGGTTAAACAGAATTGTTGGGCAGAGCAACATATAGCTGAAGCAGCTGTAAATATAGCTCCAACCTATATGAAAATAAAGAACTGAAGTGATTTGTGAAGATAAAACAGGGTCCAGCCCAGGGATAGGCAACCTTGGCTTTTTTATGACTTGTGGACTTCAACTCCCAGAATTCCTGAGCCAGCATGGCTGGCTCAGGAATTCTGGGAGTTGAAGTCCACAGGTCATAAAAGAGCCAAGTTTGCCTACCCCTGGGCTAGCCCTATTTTAATGTGAACATTCGATTAGTTGTTTCTTGGAACTGGGAAATCGGGACACTACCAATCCAATCCTAGCAATTCCTACATATGTCTTTTTAGTCCAAACCACTAACATTTATCTAACGCCACAATAGAAAATTATACCCAGTGAAAATGTGAATTTAGGAAAATGTGAAAAGAGTATCTCTAGAAGATTATATCACAAGTGATTGCAGAGTTTCTCACTCCTGAGAGAATGCACATCACCCTAAATTCTTTCATTGTATTAGAAATTCCAAACTAGATTCTGATGTATCTTTTTTTTTTCCTTTGCCTCTTTCTGCAGCTAGAACATTTGTCTATCCTTGAGTTTTCCTCCTCCTTGAGATATACTCTTCTAACTTTTTGCCTGGTATGGAAATAAATTTAAGAAAAAATTACTTCAGTGTTCAATGCTTGCAAAGTAATGCTATTACTGGCCATGGGTCATGTTTGTAAAGAACTGAACAAGGCACAAAGGCTCTCTGTGTACAGAAAGTGGACGTAACTGGTTTGAAGAAGAAATTCATAAACGAACTGAATGAAATGCTAGGGACAAATTCTCTGTTTCTTAAATGAAGAACAATGTAAGGAGACGTAGCTATGATTGTTGCATCCAAACATCATTCAAGGGATGCATAGAATAATTATTTAACCTAATGCAGCGATGGAATAGTGCAGTACGGTGTAGATACCTATAAAATATTTGTAAACATTTTATTTTACAGAAATATGCAAGATAATCTATGTGAAATTTCAAGCACTTTTAATCTTTTACCAAATTTACAAAAGTGATGTAAAAATGGGAAAATGGGTTCAATCAGTCTTGCACTCAATAAAGTGGCATTTTGACTGATTGATTGATTTCATTGATTGATTGATCCCTTGAAGATACTAATTCCTTCCTTTTAATTGTAAATGGTTTGGGCTGCAGTTAGCTATCTTATTGCACCTATCAAAGGTGTGGCTGGAGAAGGAATAAGAGAGCTAGTCTAGCTTACATGTACTCCATTTTTATGTTTTCCTCCCATGTTAATATTCATATAATAATGACTTTATTCATTGTTTTAGTGAATAAAGTCATTATATGATCCATGGCATTTTATAGTAAACAGGGTCATTTCAAAGTGTTCCTTGCCCAGCTAGGAAGGAAATTGCTTCTCTTGGCCCAAACTAGAAAGAAGAGTCATTTGAAAAGGTAGCACTAATCAAAAATATACTTGAAAAACCTTGCTCTACTCAAATGGAAACTAATCAAGGAGAGAAGCAATCTAGAACTAAGGAGAAACTTCCTGACAATTAGAACAATTAACCAGTGGAACAACCTGTCTCCAGAAGTGGTGAATGCTCCAACACTGGAAGTTTTTAAGAAGAGACTGGACAGCCATTTGTCCAAAATGGTATAGGGTTTCCTGCCTGAGCAGGGGGTTGGACTAGATGACCTCCAAGGTCCCTTCCAACTTTATTATTATTATTATTATTATTATTATTATTATTATTATTATTATTATTATTATTATTATTATTANCTGCCTCTTTTGAACACACATTGGCCTTACATGCCTCAAAAAACCTGTATCAAAGTATTATGCTTACCATCTTGTATATTCTGACCCCCATCCTCTCTCACAGACACCACTGCTCTCTTGTTGAAAAATATCATTGGTTCATCTTTTAAAACAAGTCAGTATAATTGTTTAGTTAGCTAACTAAAGTAGAAACCTCTCCCCCTGCATTCCTACTTCTCCCACCCATATTACTGTATATTCAGTTTATCTCATTATTTTATTGTTTAATTATTTTACTACCGTTGTTTACACTTCTTTTCATTCCTGTTTTTACTGTTGTAGGCTGCCTAGAATAGCCCCATGGTAAGACAGTCGACAAAATAAATTTAACAAATAAATAAACATCCAGCAAATAATAAACCATTAAAACACACTAGTTAAAAATAGCAGTTCTAGTACTTAATAATGAAAAAGAGAGACATCTAAGTAGCAATAGCATTTATATACTATTTCATAGTACTTAAATCATGCTCTGGGAGGGTTACAGAGTCAGCATATTGCCCCCCAACAATCTGGGTTGTCATTTTACTGACCTCAGGATGGAAGGCTGAGACAATCTTGAGGCCTGTCAGGATCTGTGGGCAGAGTTAGCCTACAATACTGCATTCTAACCACTGCACCACCTCAGCTCATAACAACCACAATAATTCGCTTGAAGTAGTTGGCTCTTTAACAGCTTAGGGTAGGTCAGGGGTGTCAAACTGCCAGCCCGTGGGCAGGTTGCATCATACGGAGGCCACTCCCACCCCAGCTCCAGCAATGCAAAAAATCATGATACGTCTCGACACATCATATGACGCAGCGAGTTTGACACCTGTGGGGTAGGTCATCAGCAGAGGGATGTCCAAATTTTAGAGGCCAGTTAGATTAGCTCTTTCACCTCACAGAAGTGGAATATTACAAGGAGCCACCTCCTCAGGGTTGTTGAATCCAGTTGAAGTAAGTGGTCCTGTAAGTATTTAAGTGCCAAGCCATAATATGGTGACTGCCTCCATGGGAATCTCCCAGCTATTCTTTCCCCAAGTCCTTGGCATAAAGGTTGCTGATTTTATAGGAAACTGGTTTATATACATTTTCTTCAATGGGAAAAAAATCAGCATTGCTCAGTATAGCGTAAAAGACTATTGACTGAGTGAAATAGTTCACCACATAACAGCTTTACCCTCTGTCTTTGGAAATACAAGAGAAGGAATTAGTGATGTCCTGCAGGCAAAGAATGTGCTCAGCCTCACACCTGGCTAAAACAAAGCACTTGGTTAGAATGTATCACCATTTACAAACAAGAAAAATGGTGCAGGAGACTCTTTTCAGTTTTCACTTTTATTATTCTAAATAAAAAACACACTTTTGTGCCAAACAATGGAGTATAAAAGAATCCGATGTACAACCATTTTAGACATCTACTTTCTTTTCTTTAGGAAGGAGGAAAGTTTTACAAAATATACAAACTTTACAGCAAATAGATAGTAAACACTTAAATAACTGAGAGGTCAGTACCTACAATTCACTTAACCAAGAGATTTGACAGCAATCACAATGCTCAGTTTTCTGTTTTTGCTGTTTCGTTTCAAGACATCTGGATCTTTGGAGGAAATGGAGGGGGAAGGCAGGGCTGGAGTTTACAGAAAATAATAATTAATAATGCATCCATTTCCAAAATATTCTTTTCATTATTTCAAAGGATTCTACGTGAGATTGGAATACCTGTTCCATGCCTAAATCCTTCCCTGCTAGGACGATAATGGTGAGAAGGGATTCTTCACAAATGATAGCATGTCAAACAGAGTGAAGCTATTTAATTACAATACTTAGTCCTTCTACAAGCCTAAGGGTTCCAAAGCACTTTACAGACATTTATTACACCTCACAACTTGTCACCTGTGAGGTAGATATTTTTAATTATTCCTCCTCCCCACCTTCATTCATGAGTGGATAAATGTACGAGGCAGGCAGGTGATGTTATTTGGCCAAAGCTAAACTCATGCAGATGTTCAGAACTTGAAGCCAATCCTCAATTATCTGGTTCCGAATGCCCTAATTATGAGGCCCAATTACTCATCATGATTTTGCTAGAAAGTGTTCATGAAAGAAACTTCTCAAGCTGCAATGGCTTCCCCTGTGGAGCAGGAGGACAGGTTTGGCACTGGAGAACCAGAGAAAAGCAGCTGTAGAATTCTGCTTTGATTTAAAGATAAATTAATTCCTACTACATACAAGCGATATATAGAAACGTCTTCTCCACTTCTCCTACTGAAGGCCACATTTTTATTCAGGAAACATGGTTCAGCACTGGATGCATTGTCTGAAATACATAAATGTAGCAGCAGCCTTAGGTAGGGGCATAGATAAGGTCCAGGCAAGAACCATCTTTCAGCATAGAAAAGGAGGAAATACCAACTTCATCAAGATTAATAGGTAGCATGAAGCTTCCTGATTAGCCAGTACTAGGAGATTAATCTTTAATATCTATTCAACAGCAAAATCCTTTGGCTTGGCGTATTTTTGGTTCCACCTTCCTGGTCAAGGCCCTGCCATTAACATATCAGTAGATGAAGGTTAGTGGTTCAGTCCCTGGGCAGCTTTTAGATCATTACAAATAACTCTCAGCATTAATATTTCCTCGGGCTATTCCCAACTGCCATATACATTGTTCAGTTCCTCAGCATATCTTGTTGGGTCCAAGGCCACAAAGGGAAAGGAACCAAAAAAAAAAAAAAGATCTGAATATCTGCAGCACGCAATGTATGTATTATGGAAATATTATTTTCCTAGGATATGAAAACAAGACAGAAGTAAGTGCTTTTCTCTTGAACACATATCAAAACATTTATCTTCACAACATCCTTAAGAGGTAGGTACTATATGCAAAGACAAAGCAAACCTGCCCAAAGTCTGCCCTACTAGAATTAGTTTCACAGCTGAGATTCCTGGAGCTGCGGTTTTTACATACATACACACATACACTCCCATAGGCCAGGTTTACATTTCTGTATCTTTAATAACAGCGTGTTTATATATAGAAGCCCAAGGATCCATTTGTACACAACAGGAGCTGTGAAGATTCTAGTGCTTTCTCCTCATGAGGTAGTTTGCATTATACCAAGGGCCAGCTCAAACCAGCTGTTCCATCTCTCAATAAGCACTTTTCCTACAGATTCCCCGTTGAATGGAAATCACAGAACTATACTTGTTTGCGGGATCAAACACAGTCCACAAATGAAGCAAACTATAGTCCAAATCAAGGCCTTTTGTCTTCTGCTCTCCCTCTAAATGTGTTAGTTGCGCCTCATTCCACTTCCAATTTTCCATCCCCTCAAAAAAAAGGGAAGAAAGCTCCAATTTCAACCTCTACTGTGACTTTTCATTATTACAGAGCAAATATATATTGGCCTTTTCAGTTGATAAAACAAATCTGTACTTTCTGCTAGCATATTCTTACATTAGCACAGAGACAGAACTTACAACCTGCTTCTGTGCTATTTTTTTTTTTAAAAAAGGAATGATGTGAGGGAAGAACCAGACACACAATTCACTTTTTTTTAAAAAAAGAAAATAAAAAATGTTGGTAGCAGAAGAAAACTGCATGTGATCAGAATAACTTGAAAACTATAAATCAGATTATTGTGACAAGAGAGACAAGATAGTTTTGCTGTTTTTTCTTTTTTCTTTTAATTGCAAGACTTAATGGATTTTCTTGGGACTGATAATGAAACATATTAAACCTGACAAAACAAATGTAAAACAGGTATAGGAAATAATGGTGCACAGTAGTTGTGATGTCATAGGCACTATATGAGGGCAACAATAAGAGACGTGTTTATTAATATGTAGGGGAGGGTATGTGGGCTCTAAAAAAAAATCTAATCATAAAAGTTTTATGTAGCTCTTTGCTACCATCTTGTGGCAATTCTGCAATGCGACTATGGCAGCCTTATAAATAAATCGTTGAAGGTTCTTCTTCCCAAACCCAATTCCTGCCTCCAACGATTTGTGCATTCAACAATCATTCATCAAGATAAATGGTGTTTATAGTTACTAGTCTTGACCCTGCTCCTATGTTTTGACTGAGTTCTTCATTTGAGCAGCAACACTTAATTCTACCAATAGGGTATCTTCCATATAAGCTGAGCTATAACTTTCATCACCTTCAGCTGTGCAAATATTGGAAATATTTTCAAAACTGCCAATGTTCCAGGAATGAATCAGGATGCCTTTCGGTAATGCAGTCAACATTAGCCAATCAGTGCCACTGGAACCTCTGAGAAGTTTATCAAAGTAATTGTTCATTTTATTGTTAATAAAATTCAGTTGTGGAGAGAAAAAGTTATGCATATAACTAAATGTGATGAAAATATTTTCAAATTGGCTTTAATTCTTTAGAAAAGTTACATCTGTGATACCAGGGTAACTATATTCCTCATGTCACAATCTGACATAGTAGCTGGGGCAAGGAGGACTGGCATTTTCAATGTAACAAATGCTATAATCTGTGAAGTGTAAAAATAAGTGCCACTGTTAAGAAAACTTCTGAATCACTCTAAACAAAAAGTAAAAACAGTGATTTAGTGTCCTGCTTACAGGTCATACAAAAACTCCCCCTTATAGAGATATTTTAAGGCAACAATGTTTTTTTCAAACACAACTGTGCATTCCTACCCATCTTTACTCAGAAATAAATCCTACTAAATTTTATCAGGCAAATAAATATTGTAGGCCAAAAGGAAGATTCCAAGCTCTAGCATAATATATTAATTGCTTTAAAAAAATTAGCCTCCGAACACATCTTATCATATTATAAATGACAGAATTCCACATTGGCATTAAGAACCAGCAACCTTACCTCTTGCAATTTTTTCATGCCCTAATTTTTTTTGAAAGAAGTACTTCAGATTGTTGAACAACTTATTGTTTGAACAACTAAAATAAGTGTGCCTTGCCAAAACTAAGAATTGTTTCTCATAATATTCTTCTTCATTCTCCACTGAAAATTAATCCAAAATTGGCAAACTCCACTTCCTCTGGCCTCCTAAAATCTGTGTGTTCTCTTTTTATCTTGATCTCTCTGCTATAAACTAGATATTTTCCTTAGGAAAAGGGCAAATGCAAATTAAGGCTTGACACAAGGTAGATTCAGTGACTGATTAAAGTTCCAAATGTATCCAGCCCTTGTACCTTTAATATCAGCTTCATTCCAAGAAATCAGTTTTTCACTGTATAAAGGTAAGCTTTCTCTCAATTAAAGTCTAGATGGCATGACAGTTAAATTTACTGTATAAGAAAAGGCAATACTTTTGAAAGGAAGAATCACAGATGTTTCTACAATACATGTACCAATAGGAAAGAATTCCCTCAAAACAAAGACAGTCTTATTTCTGAGTAAGTATCCTTAGGATTGCATTTTTAATTTTTGGAAATTAAACCTTGTCATCAATAAACCAGAAGCATTTTTTCATACTTTCCTATTTCTCCCCTGCTAGCCCTACTGATATGGAGCATTGATACATCTTAGCAGCATCAATCTTCTAACGATGTCAGGTAAAGCCTGTGAGAGGAGGGGAGAAGTCATGAGTTGGGAAATATATTAGATGAAGAACAAAAGGTCTTATTTCTTACATTTGAAACAACTCAGCCGGAGGTAAGCACAATGGTTTTTTTGAGAACAGTAACACATCTAATGTGATGTTTCACAGAACAGTGATTTAAGGAAAAGTCTACAAGAAACATAAGAAAATAAAAGTATACAGACCATTAAAAGTAATTTTAAAAAATTCTGAAACAAGTTTCACTGCTGCTTCAAGGTAGTGTTTACTTCCCCAGTATAGCTGCATCAGCTCTCTGTGTTTTTTTCTGCATCTTTGGAATGGATGATGTACATGAAAGTTTGCTCAATGGTGAAGTCTGGTGGGAGGCTCCCTTTGTGCACACCTATATGCTTGCTCATAAGGTTAAGGGTGGAACTGTAGTGGCCACAAACTGTGCACCGGTACATGAGGGCCCCAGAATGTGTCTTCAAATGACACTTTATGGTAGAACGTCCACGGAAGAACTTGTGACACACTTTGCACTGATAGGGCTTCTCCCCGGTGTGGATCCGCCGATGGTAGTTGAATTCACTCGTATGAGCAAATCTTTTCCCACAAACCTTACAGCTATATTTACTATTTCCAGGTTGGTTCTGGAGAGCCACATCCTCATTTAGGAATTTCTCCGTCAGCTTCCGCTTTTGCAATGCTTGCTGATGAAGACGATCACCAAAGTTCGGCCGGACAAGGTCCAAGGTAGAGTTACACTTGTGCTGACTAACATGGTAGCGATATGCAGCTTCAAGTTTGAAAGCCTGACCACAGTAATGACACCGGAAGAGAGCTTCTTCCATACTTTGGTGGACAGCCACATGTTTCTCCAAAAGATGTCTATCCACAAAACTACTGGCACAGATAGAGCAAGAGAAGACAGAAATTCCCAAGTGGGAAAGTGTGTGCCACATCAAGCTGCAGAGATTGAGATGTTGCTGGTCACATATGCCACATATTTGGCCTTTCAAATTCACATGGTCCAAGATGTGGCCACGAACCACATGAAAATCTTTGGCCAAAGGTTTCCTACAGGCAGCACATGCCAAATCCCCACTGAACAAATTGACCTTCCCTATCAGAGGGTCACTGGGATGGACAATAATATTGTTGTCAAACACCCCTTCTCGGCGATGAAGGTTCAGCTGCCACTGAGTGAAAAACTTAGTCTCACACATATCACAGGAAAAGAGGAATATCCCAATGTGTGACAGGACATGAGTGACTCTAGAGTTCCTGTCTTGGAAATGGGTCTCACAAACCTTGCAGTTGCCAGTCAGAAGGTCTACATGATCCCTGGCATGCTGACGGATCAACTGAATGTTGGGTTCCAAAACCTTTTTGCACACTTGACAGGGCATGGCCTTGTTTTCCCGGCTGTCGTTCTCAAAGGATATATCCTCCTCGCTATCATCGCTCAGCTCTATCACTTCCTCTGCCGCACCGAGCTCTTCACTGGGATCTTCAAAATGCAGATCTTCTTCCCCCAAATCTTCCAGCTGCAGTTCATCCATTGGCCCAAAAACATGATCTTTGGAATGGTCACTATTGCTGGGGCAGGAATTGCTACTTGTTGATATATCTAAGGAGACATCGGAGGCAAAAAGATTACCTTTGTTATAATCCCCGTTGCTCTGGACTTTATACTGCGGACAAGAGTTCACAGTGGTTTGAACAGCCATGCTAATATTACCGAGGCCAGCCTGGGTCATTATACTCATGGCACCAGTAAATGGTCCTGTTGCTTCTTGATCTTCAGCTTTGGGAGTCTGTGGGTGTATTAAATTGTGACTAACTTCATTGGTAGGATCTTCTTTGTAGCCAGTGGCTGCTTCACCATGCATATTGCAATTTCGCTCTGATCCCAGTTGTTCCCCGCTATTTCGACTTTCACCTAGAGAATGATTTGGTTCAGCTAAAGCACCACTACCCCGGCTTTCATTTGAGGCAGAAGGCTGTTTAGTGACAGCTGAATTTTCCAAGTCTGGGAAGGTAGAATGGCAAGCCTTCAGCAAATCATCCATGCCCAATTTTTCAGCAACCTCATAAATGACACCCACATTTATAAGATCTGTGAAGAGCTCTGATGTATAAACAAAATTCAGAATCTTTTCAAAGTTGGCTGGAGTAATGAAATCCACTACATAAGTGCGGGCAGCATCCAATCCTGTATTCAGGAAAAGATTCTGGAAATAGCCTGCTGCACATGCCAGCACTGCTTTGTGTGCAGGGAAGGAACGGCTACCCACAACAATGGTGACATCACACATAGACTCTGTCAATCGAGATTTGTTAAGTTCCTTCAACAAGTTATTCGGATGGTCAGTACTATGCAGCTTGATCCTCATGCCCATCTTGACTGTTCCTTAAAGTTTCCTTCTCCTGTTCACTTTTGGCTTCTACTGCCACATTTTTCAGATGCACCGAAGAGGGGGCGATTGGGTGAAAAGCTCTAGAGAGAGAGAAAATGAAGTTCACAGTTTTGATTCTTACTGATTTGGAGTGAAATCTAAGTCATAATTTTTATTACATTATAATCCACATTGGAAAAACTGTAAATGAAAAAGCAAAGATAAAAATGATTGTAGGATATAAGCAAATGTATTGTTCACAGAACAAAAGAACATAACTGCTTTGGTCTACTCTAATAGTCACAATAGGAAGGAAAAAAATGAATGCATGCGAGAAGCAGAAATTACAAATCACAGAACCACAAGAAGCATCCTTTCATGCTTTAAAACAATATTTTTAAAGAGTTACAAAGTTATCATCTACTTCCATTTTCATCTCTTCTTATTCACAGTTCTGCAACTAGTTGATCAGATATCTATACTCCAGAGATATGCAGTTTCATAAATAAGAAAACTGGTTTACCAATCCAATATCTTGAAGGGATTTTTATAACTATAGTATCCAAAATGCTTGTTTTTTCCTCTGAAAACCTCTACCTTAAGATGCATGTTCTACTGACTCTTTTTAACACATGAGCAAACAGAAAACCTGAAAATGAAATTGATCACAAGATAAGCGCTAAACACTTTAAGTTCTCCCTTCATACTTTCTTCTAACCCAACCTGTTGCATCTTTGTTTCTGAGCCTTAATTGGCTAATAATAAAATAAAATATGCACAGCAGAGTGCTCATGTTTGTGCTTTCTTAAAGTTTATAAAGCAACAGTAAAAGATACCACCTTAACCCACATATCCCACTCTAAACTTCATCTGGGACATGCTGCTATCAAAATAGATTGGAAAGACCAATATTAATAAAGGATGCTCTATGCAAAAACCCTTCAATCAAGAACATGGAAGTCATAATTTCTCATACCTTGAGAAAAATTATTTCCGCCACCCTTTTTTTTCCAAAACAAATTTATTACTTTAAAAACTGGATGGCAGATCGGTAAAAAGGCAAGTTATTTATCAGTGGTTTTTATTGCTTAAAGAAAACAGAAGTGGAGGCAGTGTTAAACTGAGTGCCCATAAGTTGGGGGGGGGGGGAATGGTGACCCTTAGAAGTTGTTCCTTATCTGGAATATGAGGTGAGATGAGACACCCACACTGAATCTTGGAATAATGAGGAAGAAGAGCAAAAGAAAAGAGGCAGAGGGGCAGTTTTGATTTAGAGTAGATGGGGAGGAGTCTAAAAATGCACGCGTTTGTGGGGTAGAGAGGATGTCAGGCGAGGGGATGTGGGATGGGAAGAGAAAGAGGATCGTCAGGATGGGGCTTCTCTGGGTCGACCCGTAAGTGGGAACAAAGGGCCGGGAAATATTTCGGGGAGCCCGGGAGACAGGAAGAAGGGCTTCCCGAGGCCAGAAGGGTAGAGGGCGGCGGTAAGGGCGCAGGGAACGGGGTGAAGGCAAGGGGGTTTGCAAGGCACGGAGGAAGGGCGGCCCCGACCGGGAATCCCTGATGTTGAAGGGGGAGCCTCACACCTTTGTAGGCGGTAGAAATGAGCTCTTTCCCCCGAAGGGAAGGGGAGGGAAGGTGGCCCCTTACCCGGGAGGCGGTGGGCAGCATCCCCGCTTTCGCATACACAAAGGGCTCCGGCCTCCCCTACCCTCCAGCCCGGCCTCGCCGAGGAGGTGCTGCTCCGGCCCCGGCCAAGAGGCTCCATCCGGCCCCGAGACGGCCGGGCCCAGCGCCGCCCCCAGCCCCGGAGGGGGCACTGCAGCAGCCCCGGCTTCAGGGGATTGGCGCGGGAAGCCACCAGCCGCCGGTGCGAGGCTGGGAGAAGGGAGCCCTGCCAGGCCGAGGAGGATGGAGACGCCGCCGGGGGAGGCGGGAGGCTGGGGAGGCAGAAAAAGGAGCCCCGCTGGGTACGGCAGCCGCGGCTCCGCGGGGAGGCACGGAAAACGCCCGCTGGGCACCGAGAGCCCACGGAAGGAGGCGCCCGAGAGGCGGCGCTGAGCCGGCGGGAAGGAGAAGGAATCGCGACGTGGTGCAAAACTTTAGGAACCTGACTCTCCAGCCTTAGAGCTCTGCCTCCCTCTGCACTTTCTGTTCTACGATCGGGAGCATTTAATATTTTTAGGATCTCCACTTCGCTAGTGCCCCCCCCAAAAGGAGCTCGACAGGGTACAGATCATACGAGAATAGTGCAGGGTATATGTATATATGGAGCGTATGAAATTGCCTTGGGGAAGCAAGGGTGCTGGCTCGGAAGAGAAATGGCAATGGGGAACGAGCCGCTTCTTTTCCGTGGATTGGCGGGAAGCCAGTCCAGCTTATCTGGATGGATAGTTTTGAAATGGCCACCTTCCCCGAAAGAAATGCAGGGTTCCCAGCAGTCAGATCTTTATCTTTCCTCCACCTCAGTTTGTGTGTGCATGTGTGCCTTCGAGTCAGTTTATAATTCCTGGCGACTTCCTGGATTAGTCCCCGCAATTTTCTTGGCAAGGTTTTTGAGAAAAGATTTGCCCTTTGTATTTTCCTAGGGCTGTACCTGGCACAAGGTCACCCAGCCTAAGGGGAGACTAGAACTCACGATCTCCCAGTTTTTACTCTAGTACTTTAACCATGACACTAAACTAGCTCTCCCATCTCAATTTACAAGAATATTATTTTTGCATTTTGTAAGTGTACATGCTTGGGGTGCCACATATACCTGATTCATGATCCAAACACTAAATCCTGCTTGTGACCATGCATCAGTTTTTGAGGTGTATGTTACTGAAATATTTTCTGGATATATGGATATACCTCTTAGTTATACACCACCCAGAGTCAGATGGCGTCTGATCCAAACTAGTTCAAGCCTATCTAAGGCCTCTGCTTGGAACTCTCCTAATGAGAAGCAAGATACAAATAAATGAATAGCAGATATGTCTGTGATAAATACACACATAGGAAGAGTATAGAAATAGCTTACTACAAATTGAAGCAATGAAGAGGTGCTTGAATAAGATTAATACTCAGGAACAGCATATGTAAAGCACACTTGACTACTATAATATAAATATTAAGTTTAAGAATTTTCTTCGTACTCTAGCAAACCTCATAGTCAGTATATAAAACTGGTTAGTTATTTTGGTAGCCAAGACATACAATACAGTCCCATAACTTTATGGACCTTTCCCCACTACATGGCAGTAAAAATATGATGATAATAAATGAATGACATAACCATTTGATATCATTTTTTAAAAATAGGAACATTAAAATAATCTGCTTGAAATGCCCACTTATTTCTTTGTCATGATAGTAGTCATGATCTGGATTTGGCACTGCAAGTTGGCTGTAACTTCCCATGCCTAGACACATGCTGCAAATGGGTCTTTATGTGCATAAAGTGGCATGTAACTGAGTAACACACAAACTAGTAAACAATATTTTTAGGTAAAGTTAGTCAGGTTATGCATTAGTGTGGATAAGGATATGTCTTAGCAATTGAGAATTTCTCACATAGAAAAGAATCACTACAATTTTCAACTATGTGTTTGTGTATGTATGTGTGATTCCCTCTCACCCTATAACATTCAGATGTAAAATGCTGTTTCAAATACATTCATTATTATTATTGTTTCTAACTGATTTCTAAAGCATTGAAAACCTACCAGGCACTATAGAAAGATAATTACCTTAATATAACTCTGCAGTTTCTAGATCAATGGAAGACTGTGAGTTCTAGTTCCAACTTAGGCACAAAACCAGATAGGTGACTGTGGGCCAGTCACTTTCTCTCAGCCCCAGAAAGCAGGCAAAGGACAAACCACTTCCAAAATCTTGCCAAGGAAACTGCAGAGACTTCTCCAGGCAGTTGCCAGGAGTCCACACTGCCTTCATATTTTACTTTTGGATGGCCATTGCAAGTAACAAAATGCTTAATTAGAACAGTGTAAACTTGCTTTGATAAAACTAAGTTTTACTGTGCTTCTGGCATATAGGTTTAAATGAGCCACCCTTGACTGATACTGTCTTTGTTATCAGCAGGTTTTTATTTAGATTGTTGTCACAGCTGGTAACACCTAACAGACTGGGGGGGTGGGAAGCAGCACTAAACCTGATTAATACATTTTAGGGTCCAAATATATTTGGATGGGAGACAATTAGGAAATCCTCGAATTATAAGCTGTACTGAGTAGTTGAAACAAGCTGAAGAAAGCAATAGTCCCCACTATTCTGATATCAAGAAAACTCTATGGTTGTATCCATGTGGTCACCAAGGCTTGACCTCAACCTCATGTTTACAAAAGTGTTAGAGACTAACCTTATCAATAGGCAGAGAATCTGTATGTGAGAGATGCAAAAAGGTGAAGAGATAAGAAATAGGCTACATTTCAGACTGGGTTTATAGAAAATTCTTGGTTTTGTTGAAATAGCTACAGATTTTGTCTTTTCTTTGCATATATGCAAGACATGTCTATTCTGGCATCTCATTAGATTTAGTGGAATTAGTCTATATTAAGTGTGTATAAATTTGCAGTAATAAATTTATAATCAGATTCAGAAGCAAGACAGTTCATGTTTCTAATGATGTAGAAGATGAAATAATTTCTTTCCACAATTAACAAACTAGAGAAGTGTGATCAAGAAAGTTGGGCCGAAAATCATGCCAAGTGTGCTAATCATCTCTTATCAAAATGGAGAGTAGCATCAAGTAATATAGGATTCAATTCTGTGGCCTCTACTCTTCAATATTTTTATTAAAGACTTAGCTGAAGAGTGGAAAGAATGCTTAACAAATATGCAAATGACATAAAACTGAGTGGGATAGTACTGTAAAAGACAAATTTCAAACTGAACTTGATAGATTAATAAAATGGGCTAAAAGTAATAAAATGAAATTTAACAAAAACAAACACTAAGTTCTTCACTTAGGAAACAAAATCGGCGCACAGGTGTAGGTGTGAGATAATTGGCTTGGAATAATTGGATATTCAATAGTAAACCAGTTAGATGACTT